CACGAGACTGTGGGGCACATTTGAGAGGCAGGGATGGGTGCTAGATACACGGCTCTGTGTCAGTGCTGCCCGCTGGCCCACGTCCCATCTCCTGGTGGGAGAGGCATCATGGGGCTGGGGGTGGGGGAGAGGAAGTGAGCGGCTGAACTCGTGGTTCTCACTGTTCCTTCTGCGGCCGATGTAGCTACTGCAACGTTCCTATTACCACACGCCTTGATTCTCTGATAAAGATGCCCAAGTTCTTTTCTCAGCTGTGCTCAGTCATGTGGGCCCAAGATAAAGGACACTGCATGCTTTCCTTGGCCTTGGGACTCCTGAGGCCTCAGCCTGAGAGAGCCTGGCTGTGTCAGAAGGGACAGGGAGTTTCCCCGGGATCAGTTAGACCCCCCTTTTGGAGAAGCCGGTTGGAAGTTCCAATGTCCCATGACTCCGGATCACCCATGATGGTGGCTTCTTCCTTGGACACTCTCACTGGACTAAAGCTTGTGCTGTTGTAATTGATGTTGTGATGTTATATTTTTGGAAACAGCACAGCACGGTGGGAAAGGCTCTGCATGGGAAGATGGGAATCAAGAAACCTGGGTTCTACTCCTGGCCATCAGTAACTCATTGTTTGGCTGTGGGCCTTGATTGGCCCCTCTCTCAGTGACAGAATTTGATGGTAGAATCTGTAAGGTTGCATTTAACTCTAAAAGTCCTGTACCTTTTTTGTTTGTTTTTGTTTTTTTGTTTTTCTTCTTTTTTCCCCCCTTTCCTGCTTAAAGGTACTTATATCCAGGTTAAAGCTGTAGAGAAGTTGGCTAGGTCTTATGTACGGCCCCTTTTATAGAGTTGTAACTATGTGCTATTCATTGCATAAGGAACTTTAAAATATTATTCCGTCCTCACAAAAGCATTGGTAGACGCTCTTCTATCTATTTTGTGGGTAAGGAAATTGAGGCTCAGAGATGTTAAACCAGTTGTGTAAGGCTTGGTGACCAGTATGTGATGGAGCAGTTTATGGAACCCAGATCATCATCATGCTCTGTGGCTGACCTTACTGACGTAGCCTTTAGTGTGAGGACTTCCTCAGAAGAGAAGTCACTCTTTTAGCCGTCACATCTTTACAGCAAGGTGATAGGGAAACTGACATTTATGAGCCACTGGTATGTGCTCAGTATTGTGCTAGAAACCTTCCGTATGTGATGTCTTCCAGTGCCCGTAAAAGTCATAAGGTGAGTGGTGTTATTACCATTCACAGATAAAAAACTCGGAGCAATAAAAGACTTGATTGAGATTCTCACAGCCAGTAATTGGTAACCAAAGGTTTTAGACCTAGGTTGTGGGTTACCAAAGACTTCTCTTTTCCTAGTTCACACTTTTTCTCAACTGGAGGTGGATGAGGCTGCCCTGCCCAAAGCCAAAAGGCGATGTCTTGGATGCGGGGGATCCCTGTACAAATTCCAGGGGTCTCAGAAATTTATGTCATGACAGAGAGCTAGGTGCCTGCCTCCCATGCTCCAGGACACAGTTGTTCCCAGCTTCCAGAAACTTCCCTTGGTCCGTCCTAAGATGGTAGACTCATCCTACTTCCTTCCATGCCATGTTGACACTCACGGGTGTGTACCCACACACACGTACCCACATGGTATCTCCCTTCAGTGTGGGTCTCTAGAAGACCTCTGGAGAGAGGAGTTGGGACGAATACTTGTTAGCTCACCTTCCCAGAGGAGGGCTGGGCTCCTGTTTTCCAGTGAGGGTCACCGAGATCCTTGCTGGGAGATGGAGCTCTCTGGAGGCTACTAAGAGGCCCAAGTATTGACGATAGTGATAATAGGAGCATTTTATCTCAACTTTAGAAACTGCTGGCTGAATCCAGGCTGCAGTCCCTGTGGGGGCTGGGTTTTCATTCAGCTAAAATTGATTAAATTTCTCTTACATATCTAGCACATGGTAAGTACTCAGTGTACATGTGGAATGCACGAATGAGTGAATGAATGAATGAATGAATGACACGTACAAGTAATTTTAAGTGCAAGTGAGAAAAGCCAATTCCAGTGAAATGAATTTTCTAAAAACATTAGAATAATACTGTTTGAGTTTGTTGGGAGAGTGCTGGGAACAGTTGTGGAACCTGTTGGGAAGGCTTAGGAAGAGTAGAAGTGAAGGTACTCTTTGAGAAACTGGCAGAGATCTCTGTTTGCTTTGCAATTCAAATTCCTCAGGGAGGTTGGCTCACGATTGACCCCCTTCACCTTCCCCACATGATTCTGGGAAGGTTATCTACACCACGGAAGGCTTTCTGGGCAGGCACGTACGCTCAGAGTATCTGTTATAATAGATAAGGCAGCCCTGACCCTCCAGGGTTTATAGCCAGTAGGGAAAGACTGATAAATAAAGGGATAATTAACAGTAGGCTGTGTTGGATGCTATGGAAGGTCTGCACAAGATGCATCGGGAGCTTAGAAGTTTGTTTTTTTTTTTTTTTTAATTTTTTAAGGTTTATTTTTGAGAGAGAGACAGATCATGAGTGGGGGAGGGTCAGAAAGAGAGAGAGAGAGACAGAATCTGAAATAGGCTCCAGGCTCTGAGCTGTCAGCACGGAGCCCGACGTGGGGCTCAAACCCACCACCACAAGATCATGACCTGAGCCAAAGTGACGCCCAAACAACTGGGCAACCCAGGTGCCCTGCTTAGGAAGGTTTTAAATTTTACATGAGGAGTGTCAGGGAAGGCCGACAGAGAAGATGGTTTGAGATTGAATTTAATTATTTTTATTTTTATTTTTTAGAGGTGGGAAGGGAGAGAGGGAGAGAGAGAGAGAATGAGAGAATGAGAATCCTAGTGCAGAGCCCTACACAGAGCTTAATCCCACAACCCTGGGATCATGACCTGAGCCGAAATCAAGTCAGAGGCTCAACTGACTGAGCCACCCAGGCGCCCCCAAGATTGAATTTAAAGGCTAAGTAAAATTTTTCCCGCTGGGCAAATGCATTTCAGGAAGAAGTTCTTCATGAAAGATGGTCTGTCCAGGAAAAGTGGGGAGTTCTAAGTGCCTGGTTTAGAGAGTGTATCCTGAGGAGAGGAACATGGGCAGGGCCAGACCTTAATGGTCCCTATGTGCTCTGTTGGGCATTGGGACTCTTAATCCCAGGAGAACAGAAAGAATGACTTTTTAGGAAGATGAGTTTGGGCGCTGTGGCACTGCCATCAAGTTCAACTCCTTTGAATGTGACTGTTAAGCTTGGGTTGCCGAAGGTTCCAGACAAGCCAGAGAATGAGATGATGGCGGAGCCAGTCAAAACAGACTCCGCAGATGTTTGGAGAGTCCCAGATTTCTTTTTTTTTCTTTTCCTTTCTTTTCTTTTCTTTCTTTCTTTCTTTCTTTCTTTCTTTCTTTCTTTCTTTCTTTCTTTCTTTCTTTCTTTCTTTCTTTCTTTTCTATTTGTTTTTGAAAGAGAGAGACAGAGTGCAATCAGGAGAGGGGCAGAGAGAGAGGGAGACACAGAATCTGAAGCAGGTTCCAGGCTCTGAGCTGTCAGCACTCCTGACGCAGGGCTTGAACTCACGAACCGTGAGATCATGACCTGAGCGTAAGTCGGACGCTTAACCGACAAGCCACCCTGGAGCGTCCCAGATTTCACTGGGAATTCCCAGTAATGCCATCATCTGTTGAAGGTTGGGGGGTTGGTAGTGGGTAAAGAGGAGAGGGCCCTGGGGCTTTCATCGCCCGTGGGGTTATGAGTGTTTGAGAGGGCTGTTGTCTACTGCAGGTTGTGAAGAAGCAGGTGTAGCGGCTTTTCCCCTCCCCACCTTGACTGGCAAGAACCAGTTCTCCCTCTGAGCTTAGAAACGGTCAGCATGTGGCGCAGTGATGGGGAGAGTGTAGACACGTCTCAGGCCCTGGATGCTGGGTGGGAATAGAAGCCCTTCCTTTAGATAGCCGTTTTGTGATTCTGTAGAGGAAGCGGAATGAGATCAAGAAAGCTGGGGTCCCCAGGGGTTGCTGGGGGCCGAAGGGAGAGCTTCCTTTTCCTTATAAACATGAGCTCTGACAGGGGATGACACACAGTACTGGTTTTTTTTTGTTTTTTTTTTTATGCAGTAGGTGGTTAATGAAAACAGGAAAACCTTTGTTCCTACCCTGAGGATTGGAAGCAAGTGCTTTGGAGGAATTGAAGCTAGAAACTGTTCTCTTTGTTTGGCTTTGTTTTGTTTGAATGTTTATTTATTTTTGAGAGGGAGAGACAGAGTGCAAGTGGGGGAGGGGCAGAGAGAGAGGGAGACACAGAATCCGAAGCAGGCTCCAGGCTCTGAGCTGTCTGAGCACAGACCCCGACACGGGGCTTGAACCCACGAACCATGAGATCATGGCCTGAGCCTGAGCCATCCAGGTGCCCCGAGGCTAGAAACTATTCTGATAGAGATGTCTGGTAGGGTGGATCACACATTTGAACATTGTGGAGAAGGGATTAGGAACATGGGGCCCAAATCCAAAAGACAGGCTAGAATCGGCCTGTCTCTACATTTTTGCTGTGTGACTCTGGCCAAGTTGTTCAACCTCTCTGTTTTAGGTTCTCCAACAGGAATGAGTTATAATAATGTCACCAGTACCACTGCGGACCCCCACTCCCACCTCCAGCAACAACAATAACAATAACACCTGGCATTTATTGAGTAGTCGCAGTATGCCAGGCACCGTGCAAACATGTTTTAACTTCCTCGTCTCATTTCTTTCACCACCCCCGAAGTACATAGTGCATGGCAGCATTCAGTGATGTTAGTAGCTTGCCCATCCCTCCCTTCCTTCCCCCACCCCCTGCTAGAAGTCAGTAAACAGTGCAGCTCGGGTTTAAATACAGGGTGATGGAGTCCGATATATTGCAGGGCTGTTCTGAGTTTTAAAGGAGATTATGTCTGTATAATGTCTAGTATAGATGTAGCTCCTGGTGAGCCTTCAAGTTCTGTTAGCTGTTTCTTGTGTTTTTAGCCTCACCCCATTCCTTTTTGTCTCTCACAGAAGCAGCTGACACAGGATGATGATGCCGACGAGGTCGAGGTTGCCATTGACAACACGGCTTTCATGGATGAGTTCTTTTCTGAGGTAGGCGACCTTCCTGTGCTTTTTTTCTGAATGTACATAAGGAAACACAGCTTCCTGTGTAAAGAATAAAACTCGGGTCTTTCAGGTGTAGCAGAGGAAAGCCGGTCTTTTCCTGGGGTGAGGCGGCCAGACCCAGAAGTTACTGGGAGATTTCTCTTCAATACGTAATTGGGAGGGTTTGGATTTTTAATCTTCTTGAGAAAGTCAGCAGAAGGTAAATGATATGTAATTACTGAGATGCTTTTAAAGTCTTATGCTGCATGACAGCATTTTAATGATCTTCTTTCTTGCCTAAGTTACATAATTTCAATACTGAGTCAACCATGGGGTCACAGCCATGTGTGAAAAAAAAAATACATCTTTAAGCTTGTGATTCAGATTGATCAGATTTGTTGTTTCCCAAAATTCAGGCCCTTTGACTTAATTCTAGTGGAAACTGGGAAACTAAGAAACCACCAGTTTATTTTTTTCATGTTCAACAGGGGCAAAGATGGGTTGCTCCTGTCTACAGATTCACATAATCTTTGATCTCGAAGGTCCTTCTTGGGAGAGACTATGGCAGATGGTGAGCGGTGGGATTCAAATCTCTGCTCTGCTTCTGACCAGCTGGTGATCTTGCCAATGTTCCTTCACATGCTTGGTTTCCTTATCTGCAAATTGGGAGTGATAATGTAATCCCTAGGGTTATTACGAGGATTAAATGGAATAATGTTTATAAAGCATGCAGTATAGCATCTGACGTGTCTGTGCCTGGTGAGTGATTCTCCAGACCAGAACAAAAGCATGAAGAGTTCAGTCATGGAAGTTTCTGCCATCATACTGTGGTTTCTTTATTTAGGTTTTTTATTTTTTTTGGAAAGAAGACAAGAGGCGCCATATTGTTTCTGCAGGAGGAATGTGGGCACCTCCCGTCTCTAGATTGTGGATGTGGAAAGTCACGCTCTAGCTTGCGGGGCCTGGCGGTTCATGGCAGCTCCTCTGGTGGAGTGGGTAGCCAGTGTAGGAGCGGACTGGCGTACGTGTGGGCCTGAGTGGGAATTTGGCTGTGAACACTCCACGGTTCCCCACGCTCTTCATGGGTGGGTCTGTCCTTTTGGCCAAGAAGTCGTGGTGAGACCGAAGAGCGCAGAGTTTTGTGAGGCCAGAGCTTGTTCCAGGTGTGGATCATGGAAAGAGAACGTCTTCTCAGTGGTGGGGAGGACTTCAGGAGTTGTTGGATGCCACTGTCGCTTGCCCTCCGATCTTGCCTTGGATGACCAGATACGTTAAGGGACTTCTTCCCTAAGATAAGGCAGCTTCGCCAATTATGGTCTTCTGCCTCTTCTCCTAACCCAGCAGGAGGGTCTCTGAAGGGCAGTATCCCCTGCCAAGTGGGAAGGTGATGTGCCTCCAGGACATGCTCTCAATTCATCCTCATGCATTTAATAGCGGTTGACTTTGGTTAAGTCATTTACCCCACCTGGGCCTCTAATTCTTGCTCAGCAAACTGGGAATGTTAGTACTAACCTTTCAAGGTTGTTGTGGAGATAACACGAGGATCACACATCTGGAAAGCATTTTTTTAAATTTATTTTGAGAGAGAGAGAGAGAGAGAGAGAGTGAGTGAGCATGAGTATGTGTGATGGGGAGGGCAGAGGGAGAGAGAATCCCAAGCAGGCTCTCTGCACCCGTGCATGAGCTGTGAGATCATGACCTGAGCCAAAATCAAGAGTCGACACTTAACTGAGCCACCCAGGTGCCCCTGGAAAGCATTTTTAAACAGAAAAGTGCTGGCTGGATAGTTATTTTTGGAGCCTTAACAATACCTCAAGGGCTATTTGTTTTTTTGTTTTTTGTTTTTCTTTGCTTCTTTGTTAGATGCTTTTCTGTCATTTAGGGGAAAAAATCCCAAACCCTATCATATTTGGGGTGGAGAAGAGGACTGCACAGTGGGGTGGAAAGAGCATCATCTTTGAAATGGAGCTCCTCGTCTGCCACTAGCTGTGATCTCGGGCACATTCCTTGACTCCCCTCAGTCTCCGTGAGCTTATCTGTGATATGGGGAGTAGCATCTTCAGCTCATAGATGTGTTGGGGAGTAAAGGAGCCGACACTCAGAAAGTGCTCAGTGTCGGCTTAGGTAAATGTTACTGCCCTGCTTTCCATGTGACGGAGCCCCAGGAGGGTAATAACGTCGCAGAGAGGCAAGAGGCTGTGGACACAGAAAGAGGCCACCCAGGCTCTGGGCGCCCACGAGTTCTGGTCCTGATGTCAGCTCTGCCATTACCAGCAGTATAACTTTGGAAGAGCTGTTTCACTACTCTGAACCCCAGCTCCCTCTAAGACAGGAATAGTAGTGTTACCTGCTGGGTATTTATTATGAAGATAAATCGAGAAAGTACATGGATGTACCTGGCACAGTATGTCTCCAGTCAGTGTTAGCTGTCATCACTGTTCTGTTCCTGATGTGTTAGGGAATAGGGTCTGGAAATAGCCTTGAAAGTGGGATAGAGCACACGCCAGGGCCTGGGGGTTTGAGGAAGTGAGGGGGGCTCTCCCTTCGTGTAGCTGGGGAACACACTGAGGGCATCCTGCCGAACACGACTAAATAGACTGCTTGGGAAGGCACTCTTGTGGCAAAACCTGCTGTTTGGACTTGTTCCAGCAAGCAGGTCCCAGTGGCTGTTTGTTGAGGACTGATTGTGTGAATCACAAGCCGGTCAGAGAGGCGTGTGCAAGGGGCAGGTGAAGTCACGGGATTAGGATGATTTCAAAATGTGCACTGCGCTGTTTAAGACCCACATGGCTTTTCCAGCTTCTCGGCTGTTATGGGAATGAATTGGCCCTTGGGTTTTCAGGACTTGGAGGATTAAGCCAGGGTGTCTAGTAAATGATAAACCTCAGGTTATTGTCTAGTTTGTGGTCACCTGTATTTTCTTTGCGCTGTTTGGAAGAGAGGGCAAATTTTCCGAGGCAGAAACATTAGGGGCTTATTGTTTATTTAGAAAAAAAAAAATTTTTTTTAACGTTTATTTATTTTTGAGACAGAGAGAGACAGAGCATGAACGGGGGAGGGGCAGAGAGAGAGGGAGACACAGAATCGGAAGCAGACTCCAGGCTCCGAGCCATCAGCCCAGAGCCCGACGTGGGGCTCGAACTCATGGACCGTGAGATCGTGACCTGAGCTGAAGTTGGATGCTTAACCGACTGAGCCACCTAGGTGCCCCAGGGGCTTATTATTTATATTGATTCATGCATTCAGCAAAATACACAAGTGTTTACTGTCTTCCACACAGCGTGTTCAGTGCTGGGGCGAACAGCATTCTGTGGGGCAGAGTCCTTTGCCCTCTGGTGTCTCTTTATCTGGCGAGGATGACAGAAATGTGTAGAAAGTCATGATCGTAGCAATGTCAATAAGGTCCTCTGGGAGCACAGAAGGGGAAGTGTTAAATTCTGCCTGGAGGAGCGGGGAGAGGTAAGGTGAGGGAAGGCCTCAGTGGTTCCTACCTAGACCTGCTTCTCAGAATCACCTGGGGAGCCTTTCACACGTCTGCATGCCCAGCGCGGAGGGCCTGCAATGGCTTAGGCTTTTGGATTTTGAGGAAGTCCGTTCAGATGATTCTTTTGCTTCTATCGTTATGAAATGCTGCTTATGAAATGCTGCAGGGTAGACGGGAGGGGGGGGGCTTTGAAGGTGCTAAGCAAGGAAATGCGGGGATCAGGGTGTGTTGTAGGAAAATCATTCTGGTGGCAGTTCATGGAGGGCAGGAAAGGCCAGAAATGGAAAGACGAGCCAGTTGGCTGGGGCCCTGGCAGCTGGCAGGGTGTATCATCCAGGGATGCTTTTGAGTGTCCGTGGCACAAGCGGTAAAGGTGTGTAATCATTTCACGTGTGAAGAAGTCAACAGCGCGGTGTGGTGGGTCGGAGGTGGTGGGGCTCTAGGTCAGCAGCTCTGTGAGCCTCTTGGCTTTTCCCTTGGCATTGAGAGTGGAGTCTGTTCTGATGACCTACTGTATGATGATTCACTCCAACCTTGAGGGCTGTAAGACCCCCATTGTGTAGTGAGGACAGATTCTGTGGGCTAGAAATTCGGGCACAGGGCACAGTGGAGGTGGGTGAGTTTTGCTCCGCAGTTTCTGGGGACTTAGCCGGGAAGACTTGAACAGCTGGACGCTGGAACCTTATAGAGAGTTCTTTATTGATACGTCTGGTGACTCAGGGAAAATCTCTGGGGAGACCTTCAGTTGGAGCGCCTATGTTGACTTGTTTCTGTGACTCGGGCTTCTTAGCATGGCCAGCCCAGGATCATCGGGGTGTCACGTGGAGGCACAAGGCCCCCACACGAGATTCCAGCTGTGGAAGGCATGTGGGACGTCACTTGTGTGCTCTGATGTCGAAACAGACACAAGCCTGCCAGGTTCAAGAGAGCGTTACATAGATACCCCCTCTCAGTGGGAGGGCCATTGAAGAATTTGTGCCAGGCTTTGAAAGGTCCAGAGCTACAGCCCCTGATGACACCACCATGTACCCGTATCACACGAAGTACCAAAGGGGGAAGCCAGAGACGTCCCCGAATCCTTTTATCAGGCAGGAAAACCACACAAATGCTCTAAGCTGACTTCCCCTTGTGGCCCATTGACCAACAACAGATCACATGGTCACGGCCACTCCTAGCTGGGAGGGACACCAGGAAAGTGAGCACTTAGCAAAGGGACAGGGTTGCGAGGATTGGCGTAGAGGTGATCATGATTCATTGCCTGGGGCGGGCAACATTGCTGCCCAAGCAAAATCAGAGTTCTGTTAACAAGAAAGGGTGGGGGCTGGGGCTGGCTATTAGGTGCATCAAAGCACTGTCATCGATGGCATATGAGATGCCAGAAGGCTCCGGTGAGCAAATATAACTGAAAGATGCTTTTTACTCTTTTCCACCCTTGGGGATTTAAAACGCACATTTACTTATTAAAGACTCTGAGAAGTCCTGCAATAAAGAAACTCGCTTATCTGGCTCATCTCTGCATTTA